CTGTTATCGTTGTCCTGGGGACCAGCAAAGGGTTAATCCCTTTGGTTGCGTTGTCGGATGTAATGAGGATTTACCGACACTCCCTTGGAAAGGCTGGGATTCTTCTGCCTGGCAGTTTGAAAAAGTTGTGTACAGGATCCCTCTGCTTCTGCCAGGCTGGGCTGGGAGATGGGGTGAAAAGGTGGAAAAGGGGGCGAGGGGATTGGGGGGCACCCCCACACACCCCCCGAGGGTCACTCCGCTCCTGGCAGCCGCCCCATTAGCGCTGGAGGTGGATGAATGTGCAGCTCCTTTGTAGGCTCAGCGCACGCCTGCATGTGTCTGTGTGTAAAGTTATGTGGAGAGACCAGAACCGCTCCCAGGGGCTGCAAGCAGCTCTCCTTGAGAAGTTTTGTGTGTGTTTATGTACTCACAAGGACTGAATTTCAGTGCTTTAGGGTTTTGTTGGGGTTTTTTTTGCCCAGACGTGGCTGTGGCATGTCTGGAGATGCTGGTAACTGCAGCATCTCCCAGTCGTACGTTTTTAATATTGGGCATGGTCTGGAGCAAAATGCCTGCCTGGGACTGCGAAAGTGTCTGTCTGTCAAAAATGGAGAAGTCAGAAGGGGAACAGACAGAAAAAGATTCCTTTGAAAGACCGAGAGCAGCGTCACAGCGAGGGGAAGGGCCCCGGTGCTGGGGACACGCTTGGCACAAGGCACAGTCACTGCGCAGAGCACCAACTTGTGAGTGTGATGGAGAAGTTGACCACAATCGTGTTACAGATGCAGACAGGGAGATCCTGCTCTGCTCCTGGGGCAACGCAGACCGTGCTGAGGACAGGGTTAGGGGATGGGGACCCAGGAGCAGGCAGCGTGGCTGTGTGCTTGCCGGAGGTCTGGGTCTGTTCTTGTGTCTCGGTGTCCCAGGCCAGCACCATGCATGGCTGCACGGGGTTTGCCTGTTGCTGTGCCATGGGAAATCTGTGCTTTGGTCATTTCTGGTGACTCTGAACGTGTGCGCCTTTTGTTCCCAGGATCTCCTTTGGCTTAAATACCTCGCCAGTGTGCTGCTGATCCGTTCCCTCCTCAGCAGAGGTCGCTTGCTACCCTTTGCATTATTTCCCAATGGGCTTTTTGGTGCTGGGTTTTGATTTACTTGGCAGAGTTGAGTGCTGTGCATCCATACCATTCCCACAGCTGGATGTTCCCGTTGAGGCTGTTAGGCTTGGAGAGGGTCCTCTGAACCCAGGGCTGGCTGTGCCTGCACTTGCCAGGCCACCCTTGTGCTGCTGAGCCATCCTCGGGGTGGGTGACAGCTCATAATGGGAACCTTCTGGTATGTTCCCACGTGGCACTGGGGGTCCCACTTGTCCCAGTGCTCCTGCAGCATCCTCTGGAGCAGGGCTGGTGGCTGGGGAGCTGCCAGACATGCAGGAGACCCGTGGATGGGAGTGGGAAGGCTGGCTCACCAGGGAAGGAGAAGCGATTGCAGAGTGTGCTGAAGCCTTGTCCTGAGCAGCCAAAGCTTGTAAAACCAGAAGAACACAAAGTTTTACAGGCTTTGCAAGCTTAAAATGCCCCTCTGGATCATTTCTGTAGATGCATTTTTAGTGAGTACAGGCTCAGTAAACCACAGATGAAGGTTTTGCATTTTGCTAAGCATTGAGAGCGTGTCCAGACCACATCACTTGAACTATTTAGCTGTGGTTGTGCCATCTTGACCCCTTCCAGTCCCAGTGCTATATGTTGGCCATGGAGGAGGCTTCCCTGATGCTCCTGGAGGCCTTGGATAGGTGCCTGCTTGCTGTCGCAGCCCTGGGTTGTTGGTGCAATGCCACTCTGGGCTTGCCTGGCCTGTGTGCTGGATGAGAAAGCTGCACGCACGGTGGTACCATGCCCATCCTCCTGCCTTCATGGGCCACTCTGAGCTGGTCCTTTAATAAATCTCCCAGCTTCATCACCTTTCTGCAATGGGTTGAGGGGATAAAATCTGCTCTGCTTACAAACAGCATTTGTGGAGGTTACCAGGAGATGCCCAGGTCTTGTGGTGAGGGGGTTGCAGGAAATCTCTGACCAGAGACAGACACAGGGCATGTGGGGCTCTTCCCCCTCTCTTTCAGCAGAAGTAGAAATGATGAACACTTAAAGCAGTTCAAATGGAAACAATGGGGAATTCTATACGGCTCTGCCAAACCCCATTCACAAAATGAAGGAATACAAAAGCATTTGTTGGAAGGACAAAAAAAGAAGTTAGATGACAGATCACGCTTAGCACTTCTGTTTGTGGAGGGCTCCAGTTACAACGGCAAGGGCCAGTAGTGAGCAGTGTCGCTTCATAACCCAGACAGACAGGGGTGGTGAGCAAAGAGACCAAGTAATGGGTTGTCAGGAAAGATCCCCCACTGTAGAAAGTCTCTGGGAGGTATCTGGGGGTGTATTTGAGTCATCGCAGCCCTGTCAGTCGGCCTTGCATCTCGCAGGTGTCCCTTTCTGTTGTCTTTTGCCTTGCACTCTTGACACTGGTTAGTTCCCATGAACTCATCACAGGAGTCCACAAAAAGTAGTGAAGGAAAATTAAGCTGCAGTCAGTAGCTTCGGTTTGCAATAAAGGGAGTTGTCTGCAAGGAAAACTTGTAGGGTTCACGTGGGCTTACATGATAGGTATTTAGGGGCGCTTCACGTAGTGAGGATAGCAGTGGGCTCGTCATCCTGGTATTCACAGGCCCTATGCAGTAAAAGAAATCGATGCCTTTAGTGGGTAGCTCTTGATCGAGTCTCTGTGCAAATCACTGGTTGTGGGAAGAAGCCGAGATAAAGGCAAGGTGGCTTTGATAGCTCTATATAAGGAGAAGAATCTTCCTTTACTATTGCTACTCAAGCTGCTTATGCAATCCTGTCGCTGCAGAGTTGTAACGGAAAAAGAGCCTGCATTATAAAATCCTGCAGTAATTAACAGCCCCATCAGTCACAGGTCTGCCATTTGGAAGCTGCTTTTGCTTTTTCCATTAAGTTGGTAAATTTTGCCAAAGTGTTTTTCTTCAGTGTTTTGGCACTCGGCCCCGCGCTCAACTCGTGCGAGGGGTCCAGGAGCAGGGCTGAGGCCAGCTGGATCCCACGCTGCGCATTCGTCTCCTTTATAGCCCCGTCAGTGTCACTGGAATGAAATTACGTGCTGGATTTTCCCCTAAGGCTCATTCCCCTCACCGTGTTGGTCAACGGGGATTTTGGAAGCGAATTTGGGTTGTGAAGGTAGCCCTCCAAAAAAAAACTTCAGTTAGGTGTCTTGTGTGCATCAGTGTTTGAATGTGGTCTCACCATCATTAATCTGGCCCTCACCAAAGAGGTGTCCTTAACACTTGGGACTCCTGATGCCCTTGATGTTCACATCGTGTTGGTCACCCCCTTCCTCTCATCTTCACATGCTCTTTCAGGCATTCTAGCCCAGCTGCTGATACCCACGAGGTCTTTGCTCCTTGCATATGTGTCTTAAAACTCCATTGATCCTTTGGAGGTGAGCACAGAAATGCAGGTTTGTCCGTGAAGTGGATTTTAGCCTCTTCTAAGTCATAAGAAGACTTCTGCTAGAGGTGACCATGAAGAATCATCCAGTTCTCCTTCCCTTCCTACCTCTCCCAGGTGCCCTGGGACAGCAGCTCTCCTTGGACTCAGCAGTGTCTTCAGCTCGAAAACTGTGTCCTGTGGGACGAAGTGGGCAGAAAACAACCAAGCGTCCCCACCTGGAGATCTCTTGAGCATAGCGAGGGTTTCCTGGTTAGCATATGACCGACATGGCAAAAGAATACCGTGATCTGGCTATTCCAAGCTGTTGTACTCATGCGTAAACTGAAGTAGCCCCAGAGCTGCTAAAATGTGCAGCCCAGTGTCAGGGTAATGGAAACAGCAAAGAGTGATGTGGTTCATCTCATTTGTTTCCCAGCCGATGCAGTGCTGCTCCAGTATTTTGTCCCTTCAAGCCTTAAAATATTAGTGGCTGGACTCCTGCATGGATTTTTACATTCAAGGCCAGGTTTCCCCACTGATGTGTAAATCACTGTGGCTTCATTTTAGCTGTGGGAAAGGGTCTCCTGCACTGGCTGAGGATCTGGCCCAGGGTAGTACGTTGTCTCAGAGGATGCTTTCTTGTGCTAAAGCTGAGGCTTGATGGCAAGAGAAGTCTGTAATCCCACGTGGTGAATGATTTGTCTTTGCCAGATCTGAAGAGAGGAGCAAGCTGCACTTTGGCGTGGCTTTGCATATCCCAGTGTTCACACTGGCTTGGCTGAATGAAGAACAACCTGTGGATGTCCCACACTGCTTGCTTCTGGCTGAGGACTTTCTGTAGTTTATGTAGTCTCTGTTCTTCCAGCAGCCCTCGCTGATCAAGCTGTTAAATATCATCTCGCAAAAATGAGGGAACTCAATCTTCAAACTTTCCACTGACAGTTTTAAGCGAGCTTAACCAAGGAGTTTCCTATGTTCGTTATTTGGCTTCGAATCAAGGAAGTTGGTGGGGGAAAGGGGAGGTTCAGCTACCTTTCTGGTAAAAGTTTTCCTCTCTGCTGCTGTTTTCAATGGCACTCCAAGGCTTAGAACTGAGCTAACAGAAAGGTTTGTCCAATTCCCTGTCAGGCATGAAAGGGTCTGCGAGAGCACTGGGCTTAGGAGTCTGCAGCTCTCACTTTCTAAAATTTTCTTCCATACCGAGCTAATGAGAAAGTCGTTAGTGGCAACAGCATAGGGTGCTGAGCGCTTAGAAGCTGCCCCCATCTTTGTGTGTGGGTGAAAAAAGAGGAATGGATCCATGTAGGATTTTGTATGTATAGAATATATTTAAGCGTGTAGTAAAGCAAGCGCTGTTCCGCTGAGTGCCTGTTCTCTGTTTCCTGGAGACACATGGACACTGCCATTGATTTCCCTAGGCTTGTGATCAAGGAGAAGGCCCTTAATGAGGAGGGGGGTGTCAGTGTTTGTTATGGATGTGGTAGAAACTCACTCTTTTTTCTTCCCTTCCAATTTTAGGGGATTCTGCTTTCTCTGGACTGTGTTATGTTTTACCTGGTTCCTGGGATTCACACAGGGAAATTCTGAAGGTAAATTACACTTTTTCTTTCCTCTTTCAACCAAAGTAAAAGCCAAGAGATTTGGTATCAGTTTAGGACCATAATTTAATAATGTCTGAGCCTAGTGCACAGAATTAGATGCATGTATTACTGATTATTGCCATACTAAAGATGTAGATTGCGCAGTTAACAGCTGGCAAAAGAACCCGTTTTTTACAGGTGATTAAGTGCCCCACAGGATTTTCAAAAGTGCCTGTCTGGTGAAACTGGTGGGAATGAAGCACTTTGCGTCTGAAATGTCACCGGCATCTACCTGCACTTGCTGGGACTTAACTGCTTTTCCAAAGTGCCCCTTGAGGCCGGGGCATTAAGGAATTAAGCGTCTCTGGCAGACGGGTTTTTCCTTGACTGCAACCCAATCGTGGCTCTGCAGGCACAGAGGTTGTTATGCCTACAGAAATGATGTGAGTTCTAAAAGTAAAGGCAAATTTAAGGAAGAAAAATCCCACATAGCTGGCTGCTGGCAGAATGACTACGTCTGGTTCTGTCCCTGTGCTGTAGGGGAAATATTCTGTAGGGGACTGATGATGCATCTTCATCCTGTCTTTACACCCCTTCTCCAGGCATCACCTCCCAGTGCTGCTGGAGACAGGACAAAAGGCTGGGGTACAATAATCAATAACCCCATAAGAGGAGACAGAAAGCTTCAGAGGCAACAAAAATTAGAATAGATTTGTACTTTACAGTTGATAGAGGGAGCTGAGCATCTCTGCAACATCTGTTTGCAAAGGAGCCATCTCTCAAAATAGCAACACCTCTTCCACATGGATGTTTCACGTGGGTATATGCTGGAACCAAACTGCTTCCTCTGCAGTCGGTAGACAACAATAAGTGGACTTGCAGGCTCCGGGACTGCTCTCTTAGTGTCCAAAACATGAAGGAAAACCAGAAAGTTGGTCAATGCTCAGCTGTAAGTCAGCCCATGGAGCACTTTTTACAGGGGGAGGGGGGAAGAAGATACATCCCTGCCATCAGCAATTTTGAAAAATGTAATATTTTCCAAATTCTGCTTCAGTGCGAAAGAGGTGAACATCTGGCTGAATTACTTAGTCAAGCAGTTTTCAGAGCAAGTTTTATGTCAGCTCATAAAGAGGCAGAACAAATACCATGTCTTGGCGTCTCTCTTTTTTTTCAAGTAGATTTTAATATGCTGTTTAGATTCATCTCTATCCATCATTTTACTCCCATGGTAATTATGGGATGGTGCCATGTCTTTTGATTGTTACCATCAATTTAAAGGAAACTCTCTCACATTGCTCTTACTGCATTACCTTAGTGTGGTAGATAAAATCCCCTCTGAGATACTTTCCCTGCGATAAGAGAATTTTAAACATCTTGCTTGGTTTCTCCAGTCAGAGATGGGCTGCTCTTCTGGGTACCAGAAAGCAAAAACTTCCAAGGAAGCAAAGGCTGTAAGGAAACACTGGTGACCCCAGACCGTGTTATCACTCAGGATTTTCAAACATGAGATTTACAAAAGCAAATAAGAGCTTGTTCTGAGAACTGTGTGAGGGTGAAATGAAGCCCATGCCATGGGCTTTTCCAAACACTGCTGTTATTACCATAAGGCTTAGGGGTCTTCCTGCACGCTGGAAAACCAGGGAACGCCAGGGGTGACTTTTCTGTAAGTGATACAAATCCAAAGGATCGTGAGGTTAGTGAGTTCATCCGATGTGCACTGACGAAGGGTCTGGGCAGTAACTTTTGGAAACGCAGCATTTATTAAACCCAAATTTAGCTGTGGGCATCACATCCCAGCTGCTGGAATCTAGGAAGCTGCAAGTTATTTCTCTCCAGCCTTTTGGCTTCTTTTTCTTGTGCAGCTTTTTGCATGGGGAAAGGGGGGGAGGGAAAGAAAGAGATGGGAAGGAAAGCAATAAAGCATTTTATCCCCTCTTTCAGAGATGAACATGTGGTTGGTCAGAAATTTCTGTGCATCTCACTTCGTGCACAGTCTGCTAGAAAAGGTTTTCCGAGTTGCTCAGATGTTGCACCAGGAATGTTGCAGCTTGCTTCAAGGCACCTGGGACCAGGCAGCTCTAAGTGAATGGCTTTTTAAATAATGTGTTTTGATGGAAAAATCTACAGAAGAAAAAAAAATAAAAGGGAAAAAATGCTTTGCTAAACTTGGAGCTACTTAAGGAAGCCAAAATTACCTTGCATTCTATGCTAGCCGATGACATCCCATCATCCCGGGGGACGTGCCCCACCAGCCCTGGGCAGTCGGCATGGGATGGAGAGGCAGACAGGCTGGGTGCACAGGAGGCCTGAGCTGTGTGCCTGGACCTGGTGCTGGAAAATCCACATACGTGTCCTGTATGAGGTCTGTTTTAATCAGGTTTTGCGTAGGCATCTAGAATTTGGCTCTACCTTCGTGGGTTTTGAGGGAAAGGAGTGGTTGGGTTGTGCTTTTTTTTCCTTTTTTTAAGCACTGTTGGATGCAGTTGCTACTCAGGCAGTTGGATTGGTGTTGCAAACAGCAGCGGCTTCCTCTGAGCAGGGAAATGTCCTTAGGTCTTTGCAGGGAAGCCCCCAAATGAATAGGTCCTGGAGTGTAAAGTATCTCTGCCTTGTAGAGACACCACTGTCTGTCTCTGGGAGAGCACCTAAAAATACATGTAGAAATTGGAAGCTGGAGTCTAGCTCCTAGTTTATGTGGTAAATTTATTTCTGTAGGGCTAAATCTTGATGCCTTTGAAGGGTCCCACTTGACTTCACCAGAGCCAGGCTTTGGCCTTTTACCATTTCATGGGCTCTGGAGACTATCCAATATGAAGATACCACTTGTGAGTCTTCCATTCAGGGCAGAGAGGGAAAGGCTCTCCCTTTGCTATGCTGAGGGACAGCCCTCTTGGGCAATATGGCAGAAAAACTGTGGGGGACCAAGGATTTTGTAGTATGGGAGAAGTACCACTGCAGGAAAGTGTCCTGTCTGCAGAGAGTGGGAAAATTTCCATCCCCTTTCACATCTGACATTCTCCAGGGCAGTCTCTGCTAGAAAGTGAGTCAAGCTGCCTGAAAAAAGGGAGGTGGGAATAAAGCTGAGCTCAGACAAAGTAAATATTGATTGACTTGTTCTTACATACAGAAATGGCCAAGGTTTTGCCAAAGTCAAGGAACAGAGGTTTTGTCGTTATTCTCCTCCCTTCCTGGCCAGCAACATTACAGGCCTCAGACTGGCAGAGTCTACAGCCCTTCTGGCCAACGCTGAGGATCTCTTTTAAGTGCCAGTTCTCCAAATCCTCTGTATTGTGCCGAATATTTAATAGTTAAGGGTAAAAGAGGCCAAATTCCATAGCCCCTTTAGAGAAGGAGCTCGTTTTTTTCTTTGGACGACCTTTGATTTACTTTTCCTTTTAATCTAGGAAAGCTTCAATCCCATGGTGTTAGCTGACATGTGGTTATGATTGGCACTGCTGCTTTTCTGATTGTTAAATTCTTACCTTGCGAGATCAGCATTTGGATTGTAAAGACCAGGCTGGCTTCCCCAAAGAGCACTTAAACACGAGAGTTAGCTGGCCATCGGGTAATGGGGATTGCATTTGGACAGGGAAGAGGGAAGGAAATACAGTTACCCTAGCTCATTTTCAACAGCGGTAGCATCATGGTAATCATGACAGCCTTACCTTTATCTGTCTGTACCATGTAGGTAACAGCATTTATTAGACCAAATGTTTTAGCTGGAATAAGAAGAACAAGTTTTGGGGCATATGAGCCCGCTTTTCAGGTCTGGGCACATTCACCTTCACAGCTCTTCTCATGTAGATCTCAGCATCCTCCCCAGTTAAGCAGTTCAGCTGAGACCGCAGCCAGCTGGCTCCAGTTTGCATTGCTCTTGCCTGCAAATCTGCCTTGGACTGAGATGTGTGACTCCTGTTAGACCTTGGGGCCAGAAACCAGAGGATTCTGCTTGTCTGTCCATTGCAGACTTCTCCTGAAGTTGGTGGAGAAAGATAGGTCCTCTGGACCTCAGTCCCTCATCCTCTCTTGAACAAGGCACCCAGCTCCCAGGGGACAGATGCTGGCAGTCTCACCTCCCCTGCTCAGTGGCAGCCATAGCCAATTACTCAGCTCTTCACAAACCAAGCCTGGTTCCTCCAACTTATTTAAATAATTTAAGGCTGTAAGATGATCCGCTGGGAAAAGAAGTGCTGCTGTTGAGAACCTTAAGTGGTTCAGTGAAATCTAGGTGCAATCTTTTTCATGCTGGGAGGCACCTTCACTTCCCTAAACTCTCCAGAGTCTCAGAGATCAAAAGCTGCTTCTTACTAATTTGGAGAGAGACAGATACAAGGCTTTTGCTCCCTTTGAAACTTTGGTTCCTTGCCTTCTGGGGATATAAAATTTTGCAATCCCAGCTCAGTCTGTTGTTCAAATTCCTTTCCAGCTGTGTGGTCAGTACTCAGAATTAAATCCCAGAGAAGTGGACCGTGGGTGCTCAGTGGGAAATTTCCTTGTAGTGAGGTCAGCTCCCTCCAGAACATCTGGAGCTGGTCCCTGGTGGGACAGGATGGCTACCCAGATGCACCATGGAGCTCATACCTTTTGGCAATGGCTGGTGACCAAGTTAAGCATGCACTTGCTCCTCACACTTTGAGCAGAAGGGCTATGTGCTCCCCGTTCTGATTATCTGAGTGTATATATGTGAGACGATGGTTTCCTGCATCCTGTTGCCTTTTTGGAAGGACTGGTTTGATTCCCCCTCATACCCATCCAGCCCTTTTGCTGCCCAATACCTCACATTTTCTTTGTGCTTCCCTTTCAGATGTGGATGTTCTTCAAAGACTGGGCCTGTCAGGGAAAAGGCCATCGAGCGGATGGTCCTCATCACGTACAGTTCCTCAAGGAGTCATTCCTTTCAAATCAGGGGTCATCTTCACTCAGCGAGCACGTGTCGAAGCACCGGTCAGCACCATCCTCCCCGCAGGCTCCAGCACTGACCTGCTCCTAGTGCTGAGCCTCTGCTCCCACCGCATCAACAACGCTTTTCTCTTTGCTGTCAAGAGCAAAAAGAAAAAACTGCAGCTGGGGGTCCAGTTTGTGCCTGGGAAGGTCATAGTGTATGTGGGCCACAAGCGCTCTGTATATTTTGATTACAATGTCCACGATGGCCAGTGGCACAATATGGCCATCGATATCCGTGGCCAGACAGTCACTTTATTTACTTCTTGTGGGAAGCGCAGAGTACATGCGGATTTGCATTTTAAAAAGGACGAGGCATTGGATCCACGTGGATCTTTCCTCTTTGGGAAGATGAGCCAGCACTCCGTGCAGTTTGAAGGAGCCATCTGCCAGTTCGATATTTATCCTTCTGCCAAGGCAGCTCATCATTACTGTAAATACCTGAAAAAACAGTGCAGGCAAGCAGATACCTACCGGCCAAACCTGCCCCCCCTCATCCCCCTCCTGCCCAGGGATCCCAGTGCCTCCCCGAGCACCCCACAGCGTATGGAGCCCTCGCTGCAGGGTCTGAGGAACCTGACTACGGCTGCCCCAGCCTTGGAGCTCGGCAGGGTCAAGACTCGGGGTTCAGGTGCAACAACCATTGCATTGGTATCGTCCCCACCGTCACTGCCAAGACTGACAACCAAAGCCACAAAGGTCACAGTGGCTCCATCTCCTGTTCCATCGAGTACGGAAACACAACCACCCACCCGTTCACTTCCTCGGGGGACGGTGACGACCCTCAGGGTGTCTCGGCCCACTCCCAGCCCACGCATAGAGAAAACTCCTCTTCCCACCGCCAAAAAGGCCTCACCAACCAGCCAGAGCCCTGCCACAACCAGCAGGAAGGAGTCCAAGCAAGAGACCAAAAAGACGATCAACCAAAAACTGACCATTGAGCCCTCTGAAGCACCCAGTACTGTAAACCCACTGAGGAGGATGGCTGATAACACAACCAGCAACGTCCACTTTGTCACCCTAAAGCAAACCCCACAGAACCCAAGCAAAGGCCCTGTTCCAAAGAAGCACGTGCCGTCCCCCACCAGGAGGGTGGATGCCAGTAATGTCCCCCTGGTGTACACCAAACCACCCCTGGGGTCTGCCCGTCCCACCTCCAGAGCCAGGGCACAGCCCTTCAACCTCACCACCCCAGCTGCGACCGATGGCTATCAAATCTTCGACCCCCTTGGACCCACTCCATTCCCATTTTTCCTGGGGTATCCAGGCGTGAAAGGAGAGAGAGGACCACAGGTGAGTTCAGGCTCTCAATGCTGACTACTCCCAGTCACACAGCAGCTAAAGGGTTGGCAGACCATAAACTATGGGCGTTTCTATGAGGCTCAGTGGAGTGTGACAACCCAAAATAGCAGCCAAGCACTATTGTGTTTCTGATGATCACAATTTTAACACATGTCTCTGTGCAAACTTGAGTGCTATGTGATGGTGGGTGCCTCTTAAAAGTTTGTGGTTTAAGTTGGGGCTTTATGGTCGATTTAAGAAAAGAGAAAACAAAAAGAAAACAAAATCTCACCTTTCTTCTTACAAGTTCCTGGTTTTGATGGTCGGGTAGGCACCCTGTTCCACATCCTTGCTTTTACTCAGGGCCAAGAGGGCAAAACTGTTGGTCACCTTCCAAAGGAAACCCCAGAACATCCCACAAAATACCTATTTCTTAACCCTGGTTATTAGTTGTTTTGTACCTGAAATTCACATTACCAGAAGAGTGCCCTGTTTCAGCAAACACAAGTACAGCGCTTGCTTCAGGATTTATTTTTTTAAACAAACTCTCCTCTATTTCGATGGTACAAGTTAACTTATTTATTTTTTCACTTCTCATAGCCCATGCTTAAAACACGCAAAGAGTTTCCTTTATAAATCTAACTACTGCATTCCACACACAATAACCACTCTTGGGGTGTATATCTTGGCCATCATAAAAGTATACACATGTTTTGTAACACTAAAAGCAGTCAGGCTACACTAATTATCTGCTAGATTTTTTTTTTCAAATGCAAGAATGCAAACAGGATCTTTCAACTGGCCAACTTCTAGGAGGATTTGGTGTTCCAACCCAAGCCTTTTGCTATATTGTGTATATGAGAGAGGGGTTGTACATGTAAAATAAGTTTCTCCCAGACAGAGTCTTTAGTTGCCAAGTCCCAGCCTAGAGCAAATTTTTACAGGAGACTTCTTAAAATAGTGTGAGAAGGGTTTACAATGGAAATATTGAGACCAGCTGAAGGAACACAATCAACAGCACTTGTCTCCAAATGCGCTGCTCATTGGTGCAAGCAACACCTAAAATGAAATGGTGGTGTTTGGCTAAGCCCTCAATGGGTGCTTTCCTTCAAGGTTTGCATTTCCTGCCCATCCCATTTCAGAGCAGTGTGGTGATTTCTCTCCTTGTCATTAGTAGGGGTGTCTCAGAGGGTTGTGTTTTGTTGGAAGGTTCCCATCCCTGGCAGCAGTGAGGGTGCAGCGCCCTGTGCTCCTGCCTGGCTTTGCAGGCCACACATCCCTGTTGTCCTCTTAGTACTTGGAGATGTTTTGCTAAATCCCTGAGTAAATGGGATGAGCTTCAGCGGTTTTATTTCTGGGCAGTCTCCTGGGTTTTGTAGAGAGTCATTTCAGATGTATTGCCATGAGGAAATTGTTACCTTCTCTTAAAACACTAAGGAGTGAATCTGGGTGTGCTGCCCATGTCTCCTCTCCTTTTCCACCTTCTTGCCCTGCAAGTGTTATGAGGGTGCCCAAGCTCCAATTCCCCGCTTCCCCCTGCAATTTAAAGAGCTTATTATTGAACCGGAGTGGAAAATCCCTCTCAGCTTGTGAATCACAGCAAAGAAATGGATTCAGGCTGTGGAGGGACAAGGAGGGAGATGGCAGGATTTTTCCATCCCATCTGAGAACAACTGGAGTCCTGAGTCGAGGGAAAGGAGAACATTTTGAGGCTCTGTCTGGCCTCATCCTCTTTGACTGCTGGAAACAAAGTCAGCACTTAGGGAGGGGAAGGTTACGGCTCGGCTGGAGCTGGCTGCCGTGTGGCTGATAGCTCCTGTGACTCACTCGGAGATCTCTGTACTGCACCGCCTTGGATGTTTCTGACATGGGAAGAGAAAGAGGAGAAAAGACCGGAATGGGGATGACACGTTGGGAAATTAATGTAGCACTTCCAGGGCCAGACAAGCGTGTTTCAGAACGAGCACTGATAAATGCTCCGGGCTTGAGTAATTACCTGGCGCCGTCCTCGTGGTGCTGGGCAGCCGTTTCTGGTGAGGTCAGTGCGGCCCTTCCTGCTCTGGGATATCGCACCCCCATGCTTTCCCTGGACGGGGCTGGGTACGGGCTGGGAATGTCATAAACAGAGTCTGGCACATGGGTGGAAGGATAAAATGATTAATTCGGTTTCCCAGTTGTGCTGCCTGGTACGAGGTCTCTTCGAGAAGGCTGTCGCTCTGAGAGAGAAGAGTGAATGGGAAACTGCCCTCTACTTTCTCAGCAAGGGTTGGGGCCACCTTGGCAATGATGTAGGGGCCAGCAGCACCCTGCCTGTCTGGCTTTCCACTTAGAGGAGAAAAGATCGTCTTTCATGCTGATCATCCCAAAATCAGGATGTGATTGACAGCCAGGGTGTGTGAGGCAGTGACGACTCAGGCACTGTGGTCTCTGTGCAATTCTGGCTTTGTGAATGCTAACAAAATAACTGCAGTATGACCTTAGCTATGCAGAAATACCCCATTCCCTTCACTCAGGGAAGTGTCCACATGGTTAGAGGAGCTAAGGGCAAGGGGCTAAAAGGATCTGTTCACCTAACAAGAAAAAGCAGTGCACTCCATGGATTAATTTGTCTTGGAAAGACCACTATGGTGCTGCGCCACGGGAAATGGGGACACTGCATCCCGCATGCAACTGATGGCAGAACATTAATTCTTCAGGAATGTTGGGTTTGCTGGGCTGGAGGAAGGAGGATAATACGCTTTCTTTAAAAAGAAAAATTTCTTGGGAACCATTAATAACCACAAGCATTTGGGATCTCTGCTCTGAATTTCTTTTGGAGGAGGGGGAAGAGCAAAAAGAGCACCCGGCCATGGTGCTAAGTCAGTCACTCAGCACTGACTCAGCAGCTGGCCAGCAGCCCTCTGAATCATCCCCTCGGCCGCCCGCAGCACCTTGGCCAAGCCTCGCTCGACATCTCCTGTCCCTGTGCGGGGCCAAGCAGGCCTTTGCTCAGCTCGCCCAGCAGCCCAACCCCAGCACATGGCTGTGTGTAGCTTGGACACCCGCAAGAGAAAAATAATATATGAAGAATAGTGTTTTGTTGACAGCACATCAAGCCCTTGCCAGGCTGTGATGTGGTCGGTGTTTCAAACCCTTTGGTGGATGGGGTATCATTTGCTTGTCTGTACCAGCAGCAGTTGATGGGGAGGGTCAGGGGGCTGCAGCCCTTTCCCTTGCCCATGGGCACTGCTGCTGGGGTGTGCGTGCTCTGCGGTACCTGGCAAAACTGCGGCAAACCCCTTGCCCTAGCACAGCCCAGGGGTCTAGCCGGGTTGCACACGGTGCACTCCAAGTAGACTTTTCTCTTTCTATATAATAAATCTATACTTCTATTCTATAGCGTTTTGGCCTCTACAAACAAAAAAACCCCATATTTACCCTTTTGACAAGAGTCTTAGGGTTGTTGTTAGGGCAAGAAAACCATACCTGGTGCTGAATCTGCAGAGGAGTGGGCTGAGCTCGCTCAGAGGCTGTGGGAGCACATTTCAAACAACTCCCTGAGCATCCAAGCAGGAAGAGTCCTCAGGCAGGAGCGCCAGCAGCCTCCCGTTCCCACCGGTGCGGTGCAAGGCCAGGAGCCCCAGGTCTGGACCCCGCGGCAGCCGCCCAGCCAGAGGTGTGGTGCTGCTGGCAGGCAGCCTCCTCCCAGCACAGATGTGATCGAGTGCATCTCAGTCTAGACTGTTCCAGCTGCCATCTTCCACACGAGAGGTTTGTCTTGGAGCCCGGCTCCTTTCCTAAAGAAGAGATTCCTGGCCAATTCAATCAGTGGGTTGGGAAGAGAGAGGTGATTGGGAATGCTGATAAAATATGAAGTGCCTGTTTCCAGTCCTCCTTGTACTAGAAAAGGCTGCTCGAGCTGACAGTCTATGATAAATTAAGGAACACACAATGCGTTTGAATGTTTCTTAATGAATGAGTCATATTAATAAAAAAAAAGGAGATCGCATGCTTTGTATAATACATGGGAAAAGCTTTAGCCTCACTCACACAGTTGGATCGCAATTTTTTGCTAATTTAACCAGAACTGTCCCCAAAGGGAAATCTTCTTGCAGGCAAATGACTAAGCATCAGAGAGCCCTATTTGCGTAAAACAAAGTTAATTTTGAAGAGCAGTACTTAAAGTGTGACTGGGATAAATGAGCTGCGAAGGATGTAGGGATGTATTGTATAAATATATACAGGTATTTTTATAGGTCTTTAAAAAGTGCGTGAGAGAGAATGGGGTCCCTCTGGTTCTTCACACCCTTTCATGCTTCCTTCCAAGGTCTGAGGTTGCTCAAGAGTCTCAAGTGCCTCATGGAGAGACAGTTCCTGAAATGTCTCTATAGCAAAGCTGCTTTCATCAAGCTGGAATACTAATATTTTGTTATGTATTGTGCTGCCACTCTATTAGGAATCAGTTGTGGATAAGGACTTTTCTGTGATAGGTGTTGTACAGCCCCAGAATAAACATCTGTGCCTATTGCAGAAATCGTGTTACAAGTCTGGCTTTCCACCAACATCTCTGTTCCTGCCAGAATTATGAGGGCTTTTTCTTTTTAGGCTGGTTGAAACCTAGACGTGTCCAAGTTTAATATGATAAGCATGCCTTGGAGAAAAAAGTAACCAAAGTGCTGGATTATTTTTTTCCCCTCAAATTGCAGATTTGTTTTAGGCAGTACTTCAAGCTGGGTTTAGTTTAGGTCCTGCCTCTCTCTCTGTGCAGTGCCTGGCAAGGTGAAGCAGGGTTGGCGTGTCTTTGAAGATGAGATCTTCTCCTTTTCTGCTCTCCTGAGCAAGGGGGTTTTAGTTCTCTGCTGCTCGGTTCCTCCGTGCTGGTGCTTTCCAGACATACAAGGTTAACGGTGGATTTGTGGCGGTGGCCTTGCATGTGAAACGTGCCCCATCCTCCTCCAGGAAGAAAACAAGACCAGTTCTGTCTGCAGGGGTAATGCCACTGCTCAGAACTCGATGCCAATGTGAGGAGGGGCTTTTGATGCACTTGCTGAACTCCCTTTTAAGTTGGGTTAAGAAGAACTATGCCACTAGTGCTGTGCAGGAGTACAGAATGGGCGAGACAGAAGTACAGTGGAGATACCCTAAAATTTAGAGGTATGCACTGGAATATAAGCTGAATTTTGTGTCCTGGGTAATCACCAGCTCTTTGCTACTAGGCTGAGTACTTGCTCCTGGGGAAATGGCTACAGGAATATTTTATCTGAGCAAGTTGATTCCGTTCATCGAAAAGGAAGCGACTCATTTCCCAAATCAGCAGCACCAATTCCTGTACCGATTTGTGCTTTCCTTGAAGCCCTCTCCCAACAGGTCCAGCCTTGCTCAGGTTTTGGGATCTGGAGGCTCCTCTCTCCCAGGGGCATTGCTGCAGGCAGAGGAAGCGGTGAGGAGGGCTGTGATGTGGGAGAGGCAGAGGTTTAAACTGGCTGATCTTGGCAGCAAGAGGAAATGGTGAGATTTCTCTTGTCCTCAGGGTCCAATGTATTTCCCTTTCAGACAACTTAGCTTAATTTTCCATTTGCAACTTGAAGCTCAAAAAGCTAAGAAAAAAAGCCCCCTTTGCGCCAGAAAGTTTCCCAGCAGCAGCTTAGAATAAATCCTATAATCATTTGGTGGGATCAGCCGTTGTTGCTAATGCTACCGTGGGAAACTGAGAAGGGTTAAACTTTTCTGTGGCTGCCATTAGCAGCTTCACAGAGCTGTTCAGGCTAGTTAACAATTCGGCTCTTTGGCTTGAGAAGAGAGACTATGTTCTTCTGCCACGTTTCCCCTTGATCTCCGATTTTGCTTTGTGTGATAACAGGGTGTGTGTTCTCTGCCATCGGTTTGCAGAAAGGAGTAGTCAAGAAGCCAGAGAGACAGGAACCGAAGTGCCAGGAGCAGTGGGTCACTGCGGGAGGCTGTCGGCTTTGCTGGTCTCCTGGGGCGTCCCTGCAATGGGAGGGCAGGAGCAGAGAAGTGAGACCTTCCTCCAGCTGCCAGGGAAAGGAAACCTTCCTGCCTCTTCAAGCACTGCTCCCTCTGGAATTCCCCAGGGATGCTCTGAAGAGTGCAGTGGAAAGGTCTACACAGGCTGTTCATGGTCAATTTAACTCTTCCCTGCATTGGGAGTGAAGGTGAAGATGTCTCTGAGAGTAGGGACTGCGTGGGCATTACTTCCATGCAGACTCTTGGTGACTTGCTACGGGGTGGCTCATTGATAAGATGTCTCTTACTCTCCATGTCTTGGAGCCCTGCATTTTAAGTGGGATTGCATCCATCATCTGTAAGTAGCTGGGCCCTGATCCCCTCTGATTCTTCTCTGTGCAGTTTTCTTCGCATGTATTTCAGTATTGCTCTCCCAAGGCAAAGCAGATTGTCGGATGTGGGCCTCTTGTTTGAGAACTTAATCTGGATGATATGGAGATATGGGCACAGGGCAGAGGAGAAATGAGGTGCTAGGAAGGCACAGTACGTGTCCCATCCAGTCCAGCTACCAAGGAACCGTGTGAGAAGCTGGTCTTGCAGTGCGTCATGTTTCACAGCTGCCCCAGTCCTCTTGCACCTTGGCTTGCTTCTAATTTGTATGTGGTCATGCTCCTGCCTTATGCTGTTACCAGAGTGGCTGGCAACTTTCAGCCCCTCATCCTACAGTCACCTTGTCCCTCTCACACTTCAGGAGAGGGGGGGAAAGAGGCAAATTAAACCAAAGCAAAGCGATAGGGACTCCTGAATTATGTACTGCTATTTCTGTGTTGTTCCAGCTGAATGCCTTTCCCTTAACTCCGTATTCCCACTTTAGTGAAGGTATTAACTCTCTCCTTATTTTTATGTTGGCTGCAGTTTATTCTGAACAGCCCACATTTTTGGAGGACGTTTTTACTCAAGTGGCCAAGCACAATTGCAGCTGCTGTTAGCAGGAAGGTGGAAAAGGTCACCCCAATTCTGGTACGCGTGGAACACAGTTCTCAGTTGCATCTTCTCTTTCACGTCTCCTTTTAGGGGTAATGGGGATGGGGTTTGATGGAGAAAAGGTTAAGAACTTGAATTAATCTCTGGTAAACTCTATTAACTGTCCCTGGATCAGTTGCATTGGATTCAGGTTCTGATAGTTGTCTTCCCAACTAAAAGGGCAAGGGGATTTTTTTAATAAAAGCTTGGGTTCTGGAGCACAATTATACATGAGGCTTAAAAAACCCTACAATTATGTGTCTATTTGCACAGCTGTATAATTGCATTATGCACGGGGCCCTGAGCTGGCACAAAGGCAGGTTAAGATGCTGTGTGTATTGCTAAAATGAGGGTCAGCTGTATCAATGAGGGTTGTTGATACAAGGACCAGTTATACTGTGTTAGCTGGCAAAAAGCAACTTGCAGAGAGGTCAGATGAAGAGTCCCGGGCTATAGAGACTGGAAATCTCCAGGTCAGGCATCAGTGCTGGGTGGCAGCAGTGAGTGATACAGTGGTAAGTCCATCCCTGAATGTCTAAGTGTGGGTTATTAGATATTCTACACTGTGTAGGCTCTTACGCTTTTAAAACAATCTTTTCTGGTCATCTTTACTATAGGTGGAAATAACTATAAAAAAAAAAAAGATGATTCATTTGATGTCCTGACAAACTGGTAGCACAGACACCCCTACCATGGGCTTTGCTTATACCTCACCTGATTTTTTTTCTACTGTACCAACTTTGGTTGTATATATTGTTTTTAAAAGAGTATTTTATATACTCTTTATATATTGTTTTATACGAGTTAATTTGCTGCTTATGTGTAGGAGGATTGGTAATATCAGGGAGCATTTATTCATCAGTTACCTGTATGGTTCAGGCAAGTTTTCTCTGTTCAAAATCTTATCCTGGGCATGAGATTTAGGATAGGGATCTCCGGGCTTTATTTTTGTTACTAAAACATACACTCGATGACTCCTGAAAAGTGCATTGGAGATCATGAACTTCTCACCCTTCCTTGGGGCAGGTACCACACTGCAGAGCTTGAGCAGCCCAGCCTGGCGCTCCTTCAGCAGCAAAGGGTCAGCCCTGCAGCCGGCTCCACTCAGGCCATCGTGCACATGAGGTCCCGCAGCGATGACCCAGAGGGAAGGGAGTGAGGCCGTGCTGGGGCCAGAGCGTGGCCATGGGGCTTGCGCTGCACCTGCTCCCTGCAGTGCCCCCATTTTCCCCGCAGAGCATCGCTCCTGGGACCCGCTGTCCTGACTGCCACGCGGCTGGAGAGCTCAGGCTGCCGTCCAAACAGCCTTCAGTCTGCTGCTCTGCATCACTCCCCCCTGGATGCAATGAAAACTCGCCTTTGTAACAAGCTACTGGAATATAAATCTTCTGGGAGACGCTTTAATTAACAGTTATTCTTGTTAGACATGTTTGGCTTAGGGGAAAAGAAGTTTTGAGGAGTTATTAGGAGTTGCAGATGGCTCTCCAGAAAATCTGAATTCTCCAGTCCATTGAAAAAAATGAAGAAATAAATGACTAAATTCGAAGGAGTTCAAACCTCACTGGTTATGTACTTTTTCCTAACCTGTTTCAGATCAGTGCACAGCTGGATGCCTGCTATGTCCACTTTGTTCTCACCCCCTTCCAGGAACCCCCACCACTCTGACATGTATGCGTTGACCTCTCCTATATTACAGAGCCGTATTTAAGAATTTCCAACGTTGACACCAATTTTTTTTACATTTTCTAACACGCTGCTTTAAAATATGAAGTGCTGGGCTGCGATTATGTTGCAAGTCATGTAGGAACCTACAGTACCAAGAACTATACATCCTCAGCTGGTGTATATTACAACACACCACGTTCTTCTCTCGCCAAGGTGCTAACACATTACTTATGTTGTGTGCTAGCACGTAGCAGAGACACAGTTGTGTTACCCCTGTGTTACAGCACGGGTCCAGGAAACTGGAAGTGTGAAACACAGCTGCGGTCATGGGAATGCGGTCCACAGCAGAAAGATGTGAAGGCTCTGTTTCTACTCTATGGAAATACATGCTTCTGCAGATGTCATTGTGCATGGCTTTATGGTAATAGCATAAGTTGAAGGGAAATTCTGGCCATGGTGTTATAACTGGCCCTTCTCCCCAGGTCTTTTCCAAATGGTTGTATTATGGGTCTCCCTGAAATACTGTCAGCAGCGCTATCCTCTTACAGAACCGCCATTAATACGGATTTTCATTTTTCTAGGGTCCACCAGGTCTGCCGGGCTTACCAGGACCACCTGGCAAGAGAGGTCCCCGAGTAAGTGGTTTAAAAATTTCTCTCTGTTTGTACTTGTGTCTGTCTGTCCTACTGTTTTAAGGGCTGTTGTATGTTCCCATGGCTGAGTAATGATTGCTTCAAGCCCCACTGTTGAGGTTTGGCCTTCCTCCTTTCTCCCATTCCTTGTTAAAGGTTTTCAGGAGGCCACAGTGATGATTTGCAACCTCCCTGAGCTAAGGTTTGGCATGTGCAAAGGCTGGAGATGAATGTTTCTGAATGGCCGTCAGAAGAATGAGCTCTGTCTGTCTCGTTTTGTTTCCAGCATCCATTCCTTCTTGCAAATCCAGTGTTGAATATTAGCTTTGGCTGCTTTTTGTTCTGTCCTTCACTCTCTTCTCAAATTGCTTCCTTTGAGGTCCTTCCCTGTCACTGTGCCTTCACTAGTGGGACCATGGTCTAGTACCAAGGACTCAAAGCACAAGGATGAGCTGTTGAGTTCCCTAGACTGGGACCTTCTCTGTGAGTCCTTTCTAGGATCTAGAGCAACATGTCTGAGGTGTCCGACAAGATCTATTGCAAATTCCTAGATTTCTTCCTCCTTACATTAAATCCTGATGCAGCTCTTTGAACACTGAGTGCTATGCTGAGGAGACATCTGGTGCCGAGTGCTGCAGCTAGCTGTGAGAAGAGCTTTCTGCAGGCCCAGCTGCAGGAGTAGTCTCCCAAAGCTGGGCCGCATGCCTGACCTGGGTACAGTTAATTGTTGGCACCACTTTCACGGTAGCAAAGTGCTGTCCCACAAGGTAGGGTCACGAAGGCCATTTCCTGAGCACTGAATTGATGTGGGTTGGGAATCGAAGGACACAAGTGTCTGAGGCTGGAAGGAGAGGGAATATTTGGATCTGCGATCCAGGCAGCATCCTGCCCTGGCAGCAGAAGGAGATTTCCTCACACATACTTGGCTAAAACTCAACCCCGTGTAATGTCTTTAAAGAACAACCAAGAGGCTACGAGCTAGAGGCTGTGCATTCCCTGAGGACACTTGTTACAGTCCTGTGACATCTTGCAGTAACCAGTAAAAGTAAATGCAAGCTCCCTTCTACAGCAGTAAAACACAAAAGGTCTGCAGGAACCCTGGCAGCCTGGGCATGGATATCAACAGCCCTGAACACCCATTTCTGCTGTAAGTTTAGGGCATTAGATAGCATGTGTCTTATGGACAGGACAATCTCTTCCATATTAGATATGTTCTTTAGCTAAACATCAGCTCGAGTGGTTGTACAGCCCTTGTGTCCTCTGTTTACAAATACCCAAGCAGCAGCCACATCAGCAAACTGCCCAGAGTTTGCAGTTCTTACAAGTCCCCAAGAAAGTTTGTTCTTACCCCAGCTCGTTACTCACAGGAGATGTTTGGTGTCACTTCCTGCAATCCTTAAATCCAATTAGACTCCATGTTTGGAGGTCCCAGCTGCATCCCCTGCCTGTTGTGTAAACGACCACATTTCAGCTCTATGTCTGAATTGCACTAGCTACCAAAACCTGCGTTTTTCTGAAGAAAAAAGTGTGTTATTCCCCAGCTGTGGTGTGCTCCATCCTATATTTAAGACGATCCCCTGGAAGACAATGAGTAACAAAGGATTTCTGAGTTCGGCCCCTGCCAGAGGTGCTGAGAATTGGCCCAGGAAAGAGTTCCCAGTTAGGAAGTGCTCAGCACAGCTGAGCCTGGCTTGGCTCAGACCTGGGCTAATTTTGGGAGGGGGCAAAAGGGTCACTCTGTAAATGTCTGGCCTGGAGCACTGGCAATAGAACTGCTCTGTGCGTGAGTTGTTTTGACTTTGCAACGTGCTTCTTCTAGTATTTTTTTTTCCTGTGGCTCTTTGGGGTTTAAGGATTTCATTGCAAGGAAGAGGAGCTGCCAGAAACTAAGACAGGCTTAGGGGAATTCTTGCTGCTTTTGCTTTTGTTGTTGCATGAGCCATTTAGAAATAAATGTGCAACACTGCAAGGGGTATGTTCTACCTCTGCTTCATCTGATCCTCGAATAAAGCAGCCGCACAGTTCTTACACCAGCCCATGAGTAACCCATGAGGTGTCCCATGAAGCTCCAGCCCAAGCTTGGACCTGCTGAGAGAGGTGAATACTGCGTGCAACTTTGCAGTGCTGGAAGCCAGGGGAAAGGAAGGATTTCTTCTTGTCACCAATGCACTTTATGGCCTAAAGCATGAGACATAGTTGCCCTTGCTGTAGCTTGCATAATTTCCACATTATTAATGCTTATATAATGACTTGGCTTATTTGAAAATCTAGTTGCAGCATTTGACTCGTGACCTTCTGTAGCCGTGAAGTCCATGAAGTGGCTCTTTTGCTGATGTGGCGCAGTATTTCTACTCCTTTGAATTCTATATTGTCTCTGTTTTATTTCCCTTTCACCCCGCTGCGTCGGTCAGGGTAAAATGAAAGCTCTGATTAGCTTCTGCTTTGAGGGTGAGATTGTGGTCAGTGACAGTTTGTAAGAAAAGCTGGCTGATCCCTTGTTTCCAGCAGACAAGTATCGCTACACTCGCCTGTGCAGTCCGAGTGTTGCTCTTCCATGTCAGCAATGCCCTGGTTTGCAATAACAAATGCAATAACAAATGCCAGCTTTTGTAAAAGCACGAAAGAGTTTGCCCTAGGATGCATCTTGGCACTCAAGTGCAACGCAAGGTAGGGTAGCAAAGTGGATAGCGGTAATCTTAAAAATGACAAATTCTTGCTTTTTAAAAGTAGTGAGTCTGTGACTGGAAATGATAGTGAATAGCACTTTCTCAGGAGCTCTGCAAACTCGTATAGATGTTGCTATATTGGTCTTCTGTGCTTTACAGGAAGGTTTTATCTCTGTATCCAGCTAGGATGGTTGTCAGCTTTTATGTCTGCATTTAAGAATTGGAGACATAAGCAAGAGATCTGCCCACACCGCTTCTCCTCACATGAATGTGCCACGTGCCTTGGCGAGTGTCTGTGTAAGATCGGAGGTGTCCCTTGAAGGGAATGGCAGCTTTAGCACTGAAGGCTTTCCCCAGTTTTCTGTGTTTTGAAAGCACTTTGCTGGGCACGTAGTGGGACACCTCTTCCACAGTTGTGTGTGTGGGCAGTGGCACTGGGGTACATTCACAGCAACCCACACAGAGCAGTACTGTGCAAGCGATGTGTGCTGGGCTTCATTTCTGCAATGACCTTTGCACTTCTCCAAACACCGAGGTTTAGCGGGGAGGCAGTGGCTGAGGCTGGGCTGTGCCAGCAGTGCTGTGCTAATGACCCCTACAAGACTCTGGCAACAAAGGGCTCCCCTGGAGCCGTAACTTCACCTTCAGCCTCACCCAGGACAGGATTCGCTTCACTCCCATGCATTTGCCAGCACATCTATCTTGTTCACAAATGAACTCGTTAGAGTCCTCACTGGTACAGCCAACCAGCAAACTACCCACGATTTCATCATGTCTGCAGAAAGTGCTGTGAGCCATGATACTTGGTCTTTAATGCTGTCATCCAGACAAGTGCCATGTAAACCCTAGTTTTATGTGATGGAGACAGCAAGCTGACACGGGACAGAGAGAAGTCCAGTTGTTGGCTTCACTCCGAGGACAGCAAGAAAAGAGATATGGTCAGAATTTCCAAAACACGTTAATGGTTTAGGAAGCCAGGTCCCACTGGACATCGATGTCCTTCTCTAACAGGTGAGCAAGCTCAGGTACAAGAGGAGTGTTTTACCTATGTCCACACAACAGGTCATAGGCAGAATTGGGAATAAAAATCCTGGCATTCTGCAATTGCTCTTGTTTTATTTAACCTTTCTGATACATATTCTCTTTACCCGTTCATTTGGATTTCTCCTGTATTGTATATATGTACTCCCTGATGCTTTGGGATGCTCTTGCCTTTCTTCTGTGAACCTTAGCAGCTTGAAAGATTGTAAGGTCCCAGTGTAACATGTCCCTGTTACATTTGGTCTGTGGTTGTAAGAAATCTCCCGTTCCTTCAAAGTGCAGGGCTTCCCTCCTAAAACAAGCAAGAACTGAGTCAGCTGCAGAGGTTCCCTGGTATCCTCATTCCATTAGGAAGATTTTCCAATTTCTGAAAAGAAGTGTTTAAAGAAACAGTTTGTTTGGCTTCACTTCAAATATTTAGCTCATTTTTCAGCGAGCCAGAGGTCACAGTGGGATCTGTAGGTCAGGAGCAGAAAAAGTTGCTTTACACAGCGAAACCCCAAGACATAATGAGTTTTGAATGAGCGGTCATTCCTCCGACTGAAGCTTTCTAGCATTTAGCAGGAGTTCGGAGGCCTTTTTTTTATCCTTCCTTGTGGATGCTGAAGGGATGGGGGAGCTGTGCACAGTTACACTTTTGTTAATTTTTGCGTGCTGTGAACCATTCATTGCGCATAAAAGCGCTTCTGTGAGCAGGGTCCACCTCCAGGCGCGTCACCGCGATGAACCGGGTGGCACAGTGCGGTTCTCAAGCAGCATCGTTCATGCAAAAGACATTCCAGGGAGATGACAAACCCGTCACCTCTGGGACACCCCCCTCGCTCGGAGAACACATTCGGGGATTGTTCTGGTCTCCGTGTCACTGAGCTTTGGGCTGCGCCTGGCCCATGGTAAAATTTTCCATGGAATTTCTGGTGCAAGGCTTGGAAGATTTCGGATGCGAATTTAGTGGCTGCTGGGTTGGATCGTTGGATTGCCAAAGCGGGTGTGTAAATGGACACACGTGCAAATAGTAATACGTGCTGTGGCATTTTTTTATTTAGTCTCAGTATTGTCCCATCCTCTGTGTAGAAAAGAGGAGCAAAACTAATGTATTGATGAGAAAGAAATTCAGGAGAATCCCAGTTTCTAGATATGAGTGGGAAACTGAATTAAATCCAGGATAGTATGAGTAAAATATAGCAATTTACTATCAGATTACAAAGCAATTAACTCTCGCATTGCTCCTCCATGAGAAGAGGGCTATTTCTGGGAGCACTGGTTGGAGATGGACAATTCTGCTGGGCGCAGTAGGAGAGGAGTGAACATTGGACTGGGTGTAATAAAACAAGGGTGCATAGCTTGGGGGCACAATGACTGTTATTGGGGCTTGCAGATTGGGGCATGGATTAATTAATCTGTAAGGCCTGCCTGTTCAGATCTGGTATTGCGAACAGCTCCTGAGGCAGATGCTGTCCTGTACCTTTTGTTACTCAGCCCATCTAACTGTACCACACCGCATCTTCCTCCTCTGCCAAGAACGTGGGTGGAATCACAGATTCAGGACTCACCGTGTTGGAACACATCAAGATCAGTTATATTTTTTTACCATTTTTAGGACTACTGCCAGACTACACCCTCTCCACAGTTATGAGAGCAGTTTAAAATGTCTAGCACAAACCCCAGACTTGGTTACAGCAGTTTCTTGTGCGCCAGACTGGACTTCCCACTGTCACTTCATCAGCAGGATGTGGCCACTTCTCCCTAGGATAAGAGCACGTTGGTCTTTGGGAACAGAATGGGTTCCTGACCTCCCTTTGCCTGGACTGCACGCTCTGAGCCTCCCTGAATTCAGTGGTAAAGGCTCCCTCTCATGTCAAGAGCCTGTGTTGATCATAATCACAAAGATGATGGAGGGAGTGGAGCATCTCCCTTCTGAGGAGCGGCTGAGGGAGCTGGGTCTCTTTAGCTTGGAGAAGAGGAGACTGGGAGGTGACCTCACTAATGTTTATAAATTTGTAAAGGGCGAGTGTCAGGAGGAAGGAGCCAGGCTCTTCTCAGTGATGTCAAATGACAGGACAAGGGGCAATGGGAGCAAGCTGGAGCATAGGAGGTTCAACCTGAACATGAGGAAAAACTTCTTTACTGTGAGGGTGACAGAGCACTGAACAGGCTGCCCAGAGAGGTTGTGGAGTCTCCTTCTCTGGAGACATTCAAAACCCGCCTGGACATGTTCCTGTGTGACCTGGTCTGGGTGATCCTGCTCTGGCAGGGGTTGGACTGGATGAGCTTTCCAGGTCCCTTCCAACTCCTCATATTCTGTGTGATTCTGTGTGTAATGCCATGTTTTGTCACTGGATACCAGGACCAGATTCTTTCTCACTTCTTTCCTTTTGGTTAAGGCTTTTTTTTACGATAGTGTTGCTGTGCTTTGGTTTAGCTCTGGAGGAGCCTGCACCAGATTTTGCTGGAAGCATAAATAGTCTCTTACCCAGGAGCTCTTGATCTGAAGCTGAGCTTCCCGTGTTCCAGGCATCCTCCTGGAAATGATGGTTTTCAGCCAGAAGTCACCTCGAATCGTGCTGTTTCCTCCAGTCTGACACTGGCTTAAGCCTGCCCCGGGCTATGGTGGAGCGTGGATTTCAACTGCATTGAAACGGGCTTTGAGCCAAGCTGCCCGACTCCAAAGCTGAATAACAGCTGAATTCCCTCCCCAAATCTAACAGCACTCTGGATTTACGAACCTGGTCAGAGCTACCTAGATTATTGCTTATGTCTATGAGCTTTTTAGGAACTCATCTTTTATAGACTTTACTGTTCCAATTTTTGTCACTTAATAATTTCCATGCATATTTGAGACTTGCAAGGCTTGGATTGAGGCGCTTTTGCTACTGCAGACTTGCTGAATTACCTTAGGCAGCACATTAAGTCTCTGTTTCAGTGTCCCACCCAATGAGGTGAACAGATGATGCCATAGTTTGCTGGGAAGATTAGTTTATTTAAGACTACTCGGTACTCAGTTACTCTGGTTACAGCAGCTATATGGGTTTTCAAATGACAAGTTGATCCTCAAACACCTTAATTTTAATTAGCTGTTTCAGCATAATTGGAAATTCACAGCCAGGCTAAATTATCTGAGAATTTCAGGCTGGCAATTTGGAAAGAAATTAAAAATTAAACAATAAATATGTTTGGTTTCAGGCTGAAAATTTGGAAGGAGTTTAAGGATTGGACATTAAATTCGTGTGGGTAAAAAAATGCCACTTGAAAAGATCAACCTTGGTCTTTTAATTGAGTGGCGTCTCACAGCAGAGGAGCCTGTGTTGTGAAATAGCACTGAGCACTCAACAACTGCCTATACCACAGGATACAATAGCTAAATAAAAAAAGCCATTATTTTCCACTACAGTGTAATAAAAATAAAACAGAGCAGACATCAATGTGCTGATGTTCTCTCAGAAGAGAGCAAGGGCACTGAACTTGGATGGCAGTCGCGTGTTAAACTGCAGTGATTTTCCTTGGAAATCAGACCCTAAGATTTTGGGCCCACATATGCTGAATTGCTCATCGGAAATACTACAGCTTACTGAGTGGCTTTCCATCCCCCAGCCTATGCTCCTCCTGACTGGAGGGGGCATTAAATTGCTCACTGTCGTGGCGGTGTAAAGCTCATACACAGTTTTGGCAGAACAGGAGCCCTTGGAATTGAATCTTCAGGTTGTTTCATCTCCCAGGAACGTGTTCAAGAGGACTTTAGAATTGTTATTGCTTCAGCCTGAAAGGTTAACAGATCTTCTGTGCTGTATACAATCCTGGGATAAACTATTCTTAGATGCTTATTCCAGATAACTCCTTAAATAGGCTTTGGAAAATATGCAGAGTGGTTTAAAATACGATGTAAAAGGAGATGCTGCTATATATGATCTGAGGTAAACACTCTGACAAGGTCATTGGCATGTGAGACCTATGCAAAAATATAGATTTAAATGGTTTAAATGGGGACTGACTTCTACTCCCTCTGCTTTACTGTCCGTCCATCCATTCTCTTTCTAACCTCTAAAGGCAAAAATCTGATTGCCTCGTAGGGGAAATGAGATCATTCCAAATAGCCGAACAATTTCCTTTTAGTAATTACTTCTGTTCTCTTCCATTTTCATTAAAAAAATTGTAGGTGGGAGCTGGTAGTCAAGTTCTACCTCTCCGAAGGCGCAAAGGGTCCCATGGGGCTGACTCCCTGCCGGGCGCAGGTTGCTGGTGCTGTGCCGTCAGGTCTGACCGCAGCACAGCCAGAGACTTTCTGCTGCTCTCAGGATGAACACAGGTACCTCCTGACTCCCCTTGACTGTTTTGTGTTTGTGTTTTTTAGGGTCCCACGGGTCCTCATGGAAACCCTGGCTCACCTGGGCCCCCAGGCATGAAAGTAAGTATTGACTGGTGTAAGGAGCTTTTGCCTCCCCGTTTGAGGATGTTCCGGTGCAGGGGTGTACAGACTCTTTCACCCTTCTCCATACAAGATGCTGAGTAGCTGAAGCCATCGCTCCCCTCTCCTCTGCTCCCACGCCAGCCCTGCAGCAGCACAGTCAAAGCCTTTCCTGTGCTTGTGAGAGACCCAGCTGTGCTGTGGTTCTCGGTTCTCCTTAATTTGTCTGCCTAATTAGGGTCCTGCTTAAGCTATGCCAGTGCTAGGAAGCAGACCGCTATGTCGAGACAAGGGCAGTGAAATCCTCCAGCTCCAGAGCCTCACCAAGTCTGGGTTTCTTTGCTCTCTCCTTTCTTTACTCTGGATTTTGCAGCCCACTTCTTCACCGTTGGGTCTGGACAGTGCCGGGGAGGAGGGGATTGGCAGCACCCGGCTTCTTCCTCGGCCTTCCTCCTCCTGAAACTCTCCTGTCCTCTCCAGAGTCTCTGGGAGTCGTGATCTCCATTAGTCCTCCCAAACTGATCCCATTGCTTCCTTCATCTCCTGATCTCTTCCATGAGGTCTCACAGACCTTCTGCAGTGCCAGGACCCCTGTGTTTTGCCCTTTCCTCCCATACACATGTTCCTCCTGGGGTGCTGCAAGGTGGGAGTCACCCCCCACAGCTGGACCCCCTCCCTTTGCATGGGCCTTTAGCACAGAGGCAGTTCTAGAGGGGAGCGTATCCAGAAAAACCCTTCGGAAAGATGTTTTAATTCCCATCTCGTTCCTGTGTGCAAGGCTTTGTGTTACTAAAGATGGTGAAGTTCCTGGGAAATTGGTGTGGATCATTTTGGTGTCATTGTTTACACAGAAATAGATTTATATTTTATAACACCTATCTGAGACTAAAGAACAGTTGAGTTTTGAAAGGCAATGCTTAAAAGAGCACTTACCAAGGAAGCTGCAAGGATGTCTCAGCCAAATGCAGAGAAAGGTACAAGCAAAAGTCCTTTCTTTTCATGGTCTGATGATCAGTAGGCAGAGATGTTATGAACTCTATTGATGCTCTGGGAAAAAGATTCTGGAAAATTGGCATGCTGCCTTTACGTGATTAAAAATTAGGCACTGGAGACATGCTGGTGAACAGCAGCTGTTTTAAATTCTAAACTATAGTTATATGGCCTGAAAAGTGAGGCTGTAAAAGTTCTACATCTTAGCGTTCTGCATTTATTATCCATCAATGACTTCCAGATCACACTTGTTGAGTTTTATAAGTCAAATCAAAGTTCCTTTATCTAACTTCCAGTCCTGCAAATTCAGCCTGATTCAACCTGTAAAGCCAAACTATGCTTCTATGCTATAGCTTTTTTTTAAAAAAGAAAAAAAAACATAACTTTTAGCCTAATGCCTTGCCAGAAATCATCATTTGGCTGTAAAGCTGTAAATTTGGCGGTAAATTCAGTCGTCTCCTACTAGAAATGAAAATTTCCTGTGAGCATTTTGCCTCTGTCTTGATGTGCACTCTGGCAGCAAGAAGCCCTCAGCAGATGGATCGCTGTAATAGTGTTCAGCAGAGATCTGGTGTCATTGGTCTGTGCAATATACTTTAGTTTGGTCCAGCCAGTGATGGTGAGATCTTTGCACATGAAGTGCTTTTTTGGAACATGTGTATCAGTCCCAGAAGATTGGACTTTGCACAGAAAATTGATATTCACCCCCTTACATTTTAAATGTGTCTACCTTCACCAGGCTCAACCAGCACCTGGGACCCCTCTTTATAGCAGACCCAGCCCATGGCTGAAATTTTGGACTTGTGCAAGCTCAGCCTGGGCAATGAGGCAGAGCTGCCCCAACCAGAACTTCTCTTCCTGAGAGCCTTCAAGTGGCCCCTTGGACTGGGTCTTCCCTCGATAGCAGTTAATACCACGGAAAAAACAAGCAATCCAAGAAAGGAAGCTGGAGTTTCCCAGATAGATGCAGCTTGGAAACGATGACTAACACCAAGTCGTTGTCGCTTAGGAAGTAACCCAGGAGCACGATTTTTATCAGCTGAGTTAACAGAGCGCTTGTAAGGTCAGGCTGCACCCGGGGATGTGAAGTGGCCTTGCAGCTGGCAGAGCTGTGTCACGTCTCTGGGGGTGTTGTGTCAGTGAGCACCAGCATTGTGTTGTGGCACTGCTGCGTTTCCGAGTCAGTCCTGTGTATAGTCCACCTTGTTATCCTCGCTGGAGCTGAGCACTTGTAATCCCTCGCACTGAGGAAGCTGATCTCTTACACAGAGCTGTGTGTAGCTGTCGAGCCAAATTCCTGCTACGGTTCCGCTGACTCCAGTGGCATTACACCCACTCCTGCCACCTGAGAATTTCGCCCATCGTGCCTCCTCAGCAATTTATAACGTGCAACAGCTTACAGGGGGCTCCTTGCCACTTTTCGCATTCTGTTTGTTGTCCTTGGCAGTTGCAAAATTGCTATTGCATCTCGTCAGCAAAGACTGATGATAGCAGATAACCCCTGAAATGGCTGCCGACATATGCTGGGCTGCGGTTGTGACTGGCTGTGTGACTTGCAAGCTGCTGGAGGGGACAGGAGGGGCAATTTTGCTATGAGATGTAGCTCTGAGGATGCCCTAATAGAGTTTGGGACTGGGAGGGGAGGGTAGGCTGTCAGGCAGGGTGTGTTTTCCAAATCCATTACAAGAGTTTGGTTTGCATCCCTCATCTGGAGGCTTTTGGCATCAGATGTCAGTGTGGTTTGCTTAGTTAGCTGCTGTGGATAAATCTCTTATTATAGCACTAGGAAAAACTGAATTTTCCTTGTAGTGAATGGTTTGGCTCCAAGATGGCTCATTGGTTTGGCTCACTGCTGTTTAAAATACTATTAATGGGATTGCAAAGCTGAGGTGTTTTAAGTTGCACAGCGCTAGACTTTTCCTAGGTAGGGAACG